GGAGGGGGGAGGAGCTGCAGAGGGGGAGGAGTCGGGAGGACCAGCGAAGGGGGCGGAGCGGAGGAGGAGCCGCGGAGGGGAGAAGTTGCATACCGTATAGGTGCAGACCAGAACAAGAACCGACCTTTCAATACAAAGTACAAGATAGCACAGCGGAAGACTTAGATACCAATGATCCGAACAATCAATATTGCAATGCAGCCCCGAACATACATCATCATCATCATGGTGTGAAGGGGTCTGGCGCTTCACACAAGAAGACTGCGCCAGCCCCAACCATACACAGACGAAGGAGGTGGGGTTAGACGAAGAAGGAGGGAAGATGGGAACGTTGTCAACACCAAGTGTTCAGCACAGGCCCAAATAGTCCCTCGTCAAAATGTCTGAATCCCAATGTCGAGTCTGGATCCAATGTCGTCAAGTCTCATGTCACAACTCTCTCTCCGTAGTAGTCCACTGACATTGAGAAGTAGGTGGCGAGAGGGGAAGAAGAGATGGTGGACTTAGAAGAAGAGGAAGAAGAACTCTCTCTCTCTCTCTCTCTCTCTCTCTCTCTCTCTCTCTCTCTCTCTCTCTGTCCAGTACTAACCTGTGAAGTTGGCGCCTTGATGCAGGTACCTCGAAGGTGGAGCTGGAGCGATGGCGCCACAGGTAAGTATCACTGGCCTCCGCCAGTATCTCTCCCAACTCTATTATCTACCTCCTACCAGCGCCCAGCGCTGATGACTACAGCTATGGCTATGGCGCCCAGCGCCGATGACTACAGCTAGCGCTACTACTACTGCCTAGCGCTGAAGACTACTGCAGCGCTCCTCCTGAGTGTTGCGGCCGAATCTGAAGACTACCGTCCTACTCTCCAACTGCCTACCCGTTCAGTGCCCAAAGCTCCTATGTACTATCGCGGGTGCCTCCTGACTCGGGCGAGCAGTCCAGGAGGCTGCTCTTGCAAATAATGCCGAAGGGAGGCAAGGGCTGCAGCTGCAGCTCCTGCTCGTGCTCTTGCCAATAATGCCGCAGGGAGGCAGGGGCTGCAGCTGCAGCTCCTGATCGAGCTGGCGTGGGAACAGGCCAGAAATAGCCTGTTCCCAAACCCAGTTTTCGTGCCTGAATCTTAGGGCCTAAAAATAGCCCAGGGCCTAAGAATAACCCTCCGTTTTAGGCTGGAAAAACTCAGGGTCTGAAAGACCCAGAAATAGGCTGAAACGGAGTAGGGCCTACAGGCCCTCGTTTTTTAGTTTTCAGGCTAAAACGACCGGGGCCTGTAGCTCTTAAGTTTTAGGCTGAATGTCCGGGACGGGTCCTATAGGGCCCGTGTGGCTACGCAGTCTGCCACACCCCCCATTCCTTGAAAGACCGAGCTTACCTGCGAGGGCGAAGCTGTCTGTCTGAGGGAGGGACCACAGTCCGGGTGGGAGGGG